AAAGGCCATTGACCGTTGAGTAGTATATAATATAGTCGAGAAATTTATTCCGACCATACTTGAATTGCAATAACATACATTTTGTCCTAATGAGCGAAGAAGGTCTTACTGTTTAGGAAGATTTTAACGAATGATAGATCCCGCATGCTTTGACTGAATAAGCAGTTCAATTAATATAGAAACGAACACTCGCGAATGACTCTCTAAATTACTTGGCGGACTCAAAGGATCCAATATTCAGATTTTAAGATTAATAATGCAAATCATATGCAAGCTTAATATTAGTATTGTGAGGGAACGATTTATGAAGCTGAATACGAGAATTGTGAATGAGTAAAGGTAAGGAAATCGTCAGGAGGATCTAGCATTTCTCTAAACCAAATAATGAAACAAAATATGAATGCCTAAGCTTATAAATTGTGAGTTGGTATTCCAGTAAACTTAGTGTTATTGAAACTTCTGTTGCTACATCCTTCTATGTTTAATCAATACATTTGTGTAAGGGAGAAAATTCCAATCTATGACATGAAGGCTATTTTATACAACAGTTATAAAATGAGATCCTTGTACCAAGCAATTTTAAATAACTGCGTTACAATGCTTTCGAATTTTAGTTAATTTATCTTTATAGAAATCCCCGCTATAAAAATGATGCATACTGTTTCCAAAATACTGTGGTAAAAGAAAACTTTATCTTTGAATGTACTATAAATGTATATCTACAGAAGAGTACTATGGCAAATGACTTGATATTTGCATTCATTTGGTTTACGTCAAATGCAGTTCAGTTTCTCAAGAGGATATAAACTGATAGATGGAAATTTATATCTCTTTCCTTTCAGAGATATAGTAATGGCATTATTGGGATTATAAAAATTCATATTAGACCTTTATATTCGGGATTTTGACATACTTTTTACCGGAATTCAACCAACGCGATTTCAGTGTGAGTACACCTAGTTTGTATCTGAAAGCCAATTATATACTTCAATCGCAATTAAGTTTTGAAACATTTGAAAATACACATAACACAGCTTCCGGTAATCATAGTTTATCTAAAAGTGCGAAGAGAATTAAAAAAATACAAAGAGATTGGCAACATAATTTATCAAGTGAATGCACTTTTAAAACAAATAAGAAACTTTTAATTCCATCCCAATGAATTATAAAAGATTAAAGGTCTTGAAAAAGAATTTTCAGTCTTAGTAATCGGCTTGTGCAACTGAAAAGTAAAAGAAAAAAGAAACACGTCTGAAAGAAGAAGATTCTTGTTTGACGTTACTTCGAGCAATATTTTTATGAACAATGTTAACTCGAAACGAATTTCATCTTGAGTTGCATTATATTCTAGCACTCCATAAAACCTAAGTTACTATCGTTGCGCTCAATATTCTTTTCAATTCAAAAGCCCTTAAGGGATCAACAACTGGAAACTCAGTTCAGTTATAAAAAATTTTACAGAAGCAGTACCACTCACCAGTTGTTTTTCCTAACATAAGTATGTCTTCTGAGATGTGCTTATTAGCAGTAAAGTTGTCCATAAAAAGGCATTTGTTGAAATGAAAATATGTTAAGGGATTGTTTTAGATAATTTATCTAAGGAAGAAGAGAAAATGATCAAGAGGAAACCTCTAGACACAAGCAAAAACATATTCAATTGTAGTATTATTTGCAAATGGATTTCGTGCAGTGATATATTTGTTCCTTTCTACCATAAAAATTACTTTGCATATCTCTTTATCATAGATTTAGAGTTATATAAAAAATCTTTGAATGAGATTCGAAGTTCTGAAAAACATTGAGCCTTAAGGCTTGTCTCATTGTTATTCATTAGTGAATTCATTAGTGAATAACCCCCAAAATTGAGGCAAAATAGAATTTTGTAAGAAAAAAAGTTTTATTAATTTACTTTGCTGTCAAGGTAATCATTATAAAATCATTGGGAGGATTTATTTATAAGCCCTGGGAAGTGGAATGAAAACAGCAATAATTACCTATTTCAAAAAAATATTGTTTAGATCACTACCACGAAGACTATTATCGAAATCATTTGCAAGAGTATCTCATGCAAAATTTCTCGCAAAGGAGAATATCTCAACAAAATTTGCCGTTATCGTGGATAGCATGCCCAAGACAAAAATATGATGCGTTGAATATTGTAGCAGCCGCAAATCGTGGATTTAATTCCAGGTGCCTTTTTCTTGTAAGAATTTGTCAGCGAATCCTCCATTTCTTTCTAATCGCCAAGACCACAACTATAACACCACAACTATCGCAAAACGAATTGTAACGTAATTTATGTATACTTCAATACTCAACCCGTTTAAGGGATATTAAATATTCTCATTCTTACGAAACATATATCTTGGTAGGAAAAAGCGTGAATAATGCAAGGCAGGTATTTTTGGTCTTTGTGAAACACATACAAAACTTTGTGAATTTTCCTGTGTTTCGGTATGATAAAATTTAGTGGCGGTTCTATGGTTTATTTTTTAAGAATTTAAAAAATGTTTCACAAAATTATGAATGACGTAGTATATGTGCATTTTTCGAAAACCTATTAAATTTTGAGAAGATGGTTTGTTGATAGATCATAGTTTACTAAATTATAGACCTAAGATTATAACCACTTATCTTTAAACTAGCCTAATCTTTAACCTCTGCAAAGAGAACAAGAATATGTTCGAGTTGTTTAGTTGTCTGTAAGGTCTTCGATATCGGAATTACAATGGCAGCAACGAAAAAGATAAATTTTCCGCCTATGTTACTGGTTTTTACTTTGCAAATTGCACGCTGTGATCGCAATTTATGTTCATTTGCCTTGAAACTTTGATCATTTGCATGTTCGATCAAGATGTTTTTGCATACCAAATTTCGTCACTATCGCAAAAGTCCTTCTTTGTGCTTCGAATTTTTTTGCAAAAGACTGTATTTTCTCTCTTCTTTCTGCATGCCTTCGTGGCGTAACGGTAGCATGCTCGAGGCGTATTCGAGGCGATGACTGCACATTTTTCACATCTACAGCATCAAAAACACTAATGACTCTATCTCTTTATCAAATAATTCGAAGCCTAATTTTATGTGATAAATAATATCGTAAGAGTGATAAATCTACTGGAAGGAAAACATTATTAAGGTTTTAGGAGATTCTTTTTTGGACTCTGTTTGTGTATAGAAGAAAAGAGAAATTGAGACTGACTTTAATAAAGCATGTTTATAAAAGTTATTTTTCTTATTATTTGATTTTTGCAGTATAAACTACATATTAAAGAACACAAGCATATGGAATAAATGATATAAAATTAATGCAAAATTACTAATAATATCATATATTATTATTTTATATATTTGTAATATAACACGTATTTTTCCACAGTCTATGCATCTGATACTACTTCCTTTTTTTACTTTTAAACCGATCTACTTCATAAAAGCTATTGCTTAGAAATAACTACATTACGGAAAAAAATTGAGTTGCTAAGTGGCTAAAATCTCTAAATGCTGGTAATTTTTCCGAATTTTGCATCTAATATACGGCCTGGCTTATTTGATTTCCAGTACGCAACATGAATAGATGCCAGTTCCTCTTAACCAGTTCTTTCCGATATTATTCATCTCCTGATAGAAAGCTTTCCGTACTTTTATTAAATTACTATAACTACCAAGATCTTAAACAGCTATGCATTATAACAAAAGTGGGATAAAAGATAATAAAAAAGAAAGTTCTTTTAACTACGATACCTTCATAACATTTAATTTGTACGGTTAAAAAAGTCAAAGAAGAAAAAAAAAAAAAAAATCTGAAATGTTTCAGATTTTAAATTACGTCCAAAGGGGGCGTTTTTTAACATTTTGTGTGTTACCTTTCTTTATTAAATATCATGTTCCTCGCACTTAAACCATAAGATCCAGTGCAACAGCAATATCGCAAAATAGTTTTAAAACGAGCATATCTTTAGAATTTCCGATACAGAGACTCACGCGCTGGAGATAAAAATGTTTTTTCTGCACAACGTTGCCATTGCTCGCTTTGAAATCCTTGAGTTTGTTAATCAAAAATTCGTCAAAGTTTTAAAAAATAGGAAATCGATCATAAAACAAATTTCAAATTTCAAATTTGGTCTTCCACATGCTCATATTCGTTGGAGGATTACGTTATTCAAAATTCGATGACTCTATGTACCGTTATTTTATGACAATGCGAGAAATATACATACATTTACGCAGATTTTTCATTATTTAATTTCTTCAAATATAATGCAGGACTCTAACATTTTATGGCAACAGTTTGAAAAGTGAACCGACATTTATCCGTCCGACGCAAAATGCCAAAACGAAACTAATAGTCCTTCGGGATTCAAATCCCTTTGGACTAAAAAAAAAAAAAAAAAAAAAAAAAAAAAAATTTTTTACATAAAATATAGATCCCGGGACTCATTTTATATAAAAATATATGTCCTTTCGTTTCCAGGTTTCCGAAATCGTGGAAGCTTAGACGAAGCACCTGTCCATGGCCTATGTTGTTAAAACATCTCCCAATCTGTATTTGCTGGAGCACAATGAGATCTAGTTACAGAGATATTTGTTGAATCCATTTACTCAAGTATAAGCTCGAAAGTTTTTCTGTTACTCTTACAGAGAAGAAACTTTATTGCTGATCTGTTGCTGTGTTAATGCGATGCTGCTGCTTACATTGTGTTAAAGATTGATTTATTTAAGAATATAACAGATAAGTATGAAATGTATACTCAGAGATACCATGAAATGCACATTTGATACAAAATATAATTTGAAACTTGATGATTTATATGTAATTGGGAAATCTATTGATTGTGCTTTAAGAATATGATACAAAAACTATATTATTCAAGTGACAAAATATTTTTGAAATGTCACATTTATTTTCGATTACAACTATAAGTAAAGGTTGTAAGTTTCGGTATTTCCTGTTGATTAAAGAAACTTAGATCTCAGATTAAAAAGTTAAACGTCTTGCTAAAATGGAAAACATGGAAATGAGTGATGCAGAAGATGAAAGAGAGTCGCCAACTGAACGAACAGCCTTAGAAAGTCCAGTGATTGTACCTAAATACATGAAAAATGTTCCAGTTAAAAAGATTCACCATCCTACTGAACGTAGCATTGTTCCCACCGTTATTTTATCCACAGCATTTGTTGTGGGCGGACTCGCATTTGGACTCCCTGTTTTCGCAGTTCTCACCGTCGCGGTAGTAGTTGTGGGTATGATTCGAATAGCAGTAGCTGCCTGTTGCGCCAGTCGCATGGGTTATGGTTTTGCAGGTTGCACTGGGCTTTTGTCAGCTACGGATGCCTTCTGGTTGCATGATTCTCATTTCAACCGATACGTGGCTCATTGCCTTTTCTTCGTAGAGCGTGGGTTGGATGTCAGGACTACAAGAGAGATTCTGCAGAGTCGAGTCATCGATAAAACTACCGAAAACGGTGAGCGAGCGTTTGCACGATTCACTCAAAAAGTTGTGTCCGTCTCCGCTGGGTATTGTTGGGTCGATGATAGCGAGTTCGACATAGAGAAACACGTCTTTGAAGAAGCACGACGTGTGAGGACACGACATCAACTACGTGATTTAATCTCATCACTCATGAGTCATCCACTTGCTCCTAACAGACCTCTCTGGGAGGTCAGAATGGTGAAAAACTATGGTTATGCTAGAGACACAGTTCTCATCGTTCGCGTTCATCATGCTCTCAGTGATGGTATCACCCTCATTAAAATCCTCAGTAACTTCTTAGCTGACCATCCGCAGATGTTGAGACTGAAGCCTCGAATTGGTGGAACCACTTTTCCGCTCAATGTTTTACGGGCTGCTGTGGTAGCTCCTTTAACTTTAATTACGTGGTTGTGCACGCCAAGAGATTACAACCCAATCTCTCACCGGCAACCTCTGTCTGGCAAAAGAAACATTGGTTGGTCTTCAGGTATTCGTTTCGCTACGGTGGACAGAATTCGCCAGGTTACGCACTGCAGTGTGAACGATGTCCTTATGGCTGCAGCCAGAGGGGCAATCAGAGACTACTTCAAGCAGCACTGTGGAGTTCATTCTCCTCCAGATGTAACGGTAAGCTATTTTAGTTTTTATGGCAAGTTTCCCTTACAATTCCGAACTAAAATTACTTACGGAGAAAGAAATAAAGATACATACCAGTTCATTCATTTAAACGAAATAAACATTTGGTAAAAGTTTACATTTGAGTACCACTTGTTTGTTTGGCGATTCTTTTTTGACGCCAAGATCGATGCCAGGAAGACTGAATTTCGAGATAGTCTCTACACAAAACCAAAATAAGAAGTCAAAGAATTGCACAAACTCGGTGCCCATGTAGACATCTATCTATTTTGACTTAAAACAAATCAGAGGATTGCACAAACTAGGCATTCCGCATTTCCCTGACTTTGTCCATGTACACATCGATCTATTTTCACTTAAAAAAATCAGGAAGCTGAGATCAAGTTTAAACTATCATGGTAACCAGAAACGGGGTTTCATCGCCAAAATTGAACAAAATTTGTCGCCAATCGAAGGGGCACACAATTCTACTCTAGAGCCACATATTTTAAGATTTATTATGAATATTTGTGATTAAGACTTTAAATCAACCTACAGAAATCTTTGAAAGTATATATACAGTGTAGCATGTGCATCAGGATAAAAAATTAATAAAAGTTTTAATTTTATATCTCAATTATGATAAACAAGTACAATTATGATAAACAGGTTTAAATCCAATCTACTACCTCCCTAAAAAAATTTTTATTTTCAATTTTTTAATTCTATTGAGTTATGTTCCTTAAACTACTATATTCTGTATGAGAAATATGGAAGTAATCAATGAATTAATTAGGTGTTATTTACAGATAAGAGAAGATTTACACATTCCGAATGCAATAAAAATACCCCTTCAAAATTATTAATTGTGAAAAATTTGATGTTTGTAATTTTCTAGCTTACCATATGTTTTTCACTTTTGTATGCCTGTTATAAAAAATGATTTAACGCTTAAGATAGAAAAGAGTACGGCGCTTTTGTATTTATGGCTTTCAACTCACTGGTTTCTTCTAATTTCGTTTGCATATAAATTGACTTTTATTGACAATCTGAGTCCGCAAAGTGAATCTATAAACTTCCCTTACAAAATTCAGACGACAGTTGGGAAATATTGCATTTACATTTCCTCCTTTGTCTTAAAATTACATTACTCAATTTCGAAAATCTCATCAAAGATGGTTTCATTTTGGATGTTTGTCATTCAGTTAAAAACGTTTCAAAATGTAGGAAAATATTCCGTTGTATTTTTCTACATTTTAATGATAATGAATTTTTAATGCTTGTATAAGTTTTAAACGTTTTTCGTGTTTTATTCTATTAAATTTTGGAAAGTTATCTTAGGTTATTCCTTATTTTTAAAATAAATTTAGTTCGATCAGTTTGCTTTTGCATAGTCATCATTCTTTAACACAAATTTGACTAGAATTACCAAATATGGTCCTTATGAGACTTAGTCTGCAAATGCAGGATTGCTCATTCTAACAATGAATCAAGGATGTTCAGTTATTATAATGATAATAAATCATTAACAGATTTCAGTTATTGTAATTAATTAATAAAGAGGAGAATGAAAGTTTTAATAATCCAAAAAACCAAGTTTCGCAAGTTCAATACCACTAAATCCTAATCATAAAATACATAAGTTGAAATAAACTGATAAGAAATTTACAAGTTTCTATTTATAGTTTTCTTCAAAAGTAAGAGCATATTCATATTTAATTCCATTGGCTGTACAGCTTCTACAATGAAACCAAACTTTACTCTGCAGAATATGTTTTCACTTTCAAAATTACTTATCCTTGGCGATAGATGTTGTCAAGCTCAGCAAAGTCCCATTCAACTAGAGCTAGTTATGGGGGTTTCAACTATTATAGATATAGAATTTTAGTATCAAATACTTATTTCAGTTAATAGTATTGTTAACAGTATTATGATCGAAGATATATTTTTAGCAGCAATTATTCCTATTGTTTCAGTAATAAGTAAAGAAAATGCGGTAATAAATGACAAATTCTTATTCAGCTCTTTAAAATTAATACCTGTTAAAAGGAATTAACCTGTTAAAAGGTCTGACAAACTTTCGGGTTTTTTATTTAATATTCAAAATATAAATTGAGAAATTATAGCTAATCTTTAGTTAGGAAATATAAATACATTTTTACTAAGTAATGGAAATGACAAATTCAGCAAACTTCAAATTTTGCAAACGAATGACGATTCAAATAATGAAAATTATAATTTCAAATTTAATTTAATTATAGTTTATAATTATGATTTATAATTAAAATTTATCATTTTTAAATGCACAGTTCATCATCATAATATTTTTTACACATGATATTATTTCATCACAATTTATGTAACCAATTAACACGCCATCTACTTTAATCATGAAATGAAAAATACGCAATGAAAAATATTAAACAAACAGTTTAAAAAAATGTCAGTTAGCTGGAGACCAGATGGAAAAAATCAAAGGGAATAATTTAATAGCTTCCTTTAGGTGTATAAAAAAGAAAATAATTTTTAAAAATATTTTTTAAAGAAAGAATTTTTAGATTGAAAGTTGAATAAACTTTTCTTATTTATGAATAATATATTTCTTTTAACTTTTCCTATTTATGAATATTTTGTTTCGTGTTTTAAGCTTTAATATGGCTGAAGGAAAGTTAATTACCGGCGCCTTGAGAGAGGAAGATTGGTCGAAGATAATTGTTGGGCTTTATAAGACTTCCAGTGTAATATGTAGCTGGTAAAATGTTTATCGTGATTTAACTGCATTCTAATACACATTATTTCAAAATTACGCAGATTGCTTTAAAGCAGCTTTGATTTAATATTTATTAGATGCGTAATACTTATTGTGAGTGTAATAGAAAAACATGCAATGGGAAAAAATCGCATTTTCTGAATTTAAATGTGTACTCGTATCATACTAATTAAGTAGTTACTTTGTCGTGGGTTCTGAGTTACTTTCGTAGGAAGTTCTTTTTTCTTCTTTTTAAGCGAAACTGATACTTTAAAGATTTAAAACACCTTGTCTTCTCATACCGGTCGTACTAGCATTCCGTATTTTGCCTCTAGACCACATTTGTAAAGACAAGGAAACCAAATTTGACATTATGCTTGGTTATGAAAAATTTATGCATTAAGGAAGAAAGCAGAAAAGTGAAATAATTTACATTTAAATAATTAACGGTCTCAAAGAGTGATTTCTGAAACCTTTATCATCATACTTATTCTATGTTTCAGTCTTATTTAGCAATTAACAACATTAAATCTGAAAATCTTTAAAAGCTGTAGGATTTCCTTTAGTTAACTAATATTTTATTCAAATTTTTGTTATCATTCGCGAACTCCTCAACTTCCCCTCGCATTTTCTCACCACGATGTAAATTCAAAGTTAAGTGAAGTAAGTATTTAAACGGGTGAATCTCTGACTTTATTCAGAGCATGCTTTCGCTAGCCAGCGCACGTTTCGTTGCTTATCTCGCTGTTATGCTAGTACGCCCCTTGTCCCTTTATGATAATCGTCACTCCTGTTAGGGTTTGTTGAGTCAACCTAAGTTAGCCGTAACTTAACGTGCTAATCCGGCAATTTTCTATTTAGACTTGAATTGATTTATGTTATAACGTTTGGATTCCACCGAAAGTGCTCGGTGTTTTTGTAAGGCACGAAGTACGTGCCTTTCTATTCTGGGTTAGAATTAATAAAGGGTTATTTTCAACCTTTGACTCCACAGACGCAATAGTTGTTATTTAAGAGGTTCTTTTTAAGAAAATAATCTGGATATGCCCATGACAAGTGAGGTAATAAGCTAGAAAGGACTGAAACATCTAATTTCTGTGCTGAATTTTGGGAAAAATTGGTGTATTCCGCCCTGTTGTGGGTTTTACTCCTCTATTCTTTCCACCCTTGGATTAGATGTTTTTTTAGGATTTGACGTAGTTGCGATTTAAGAAGCTTGATGCGACGAGCGAGTTATGTTTGATACGGGGATATTATTACTGCTCTTCCTCTGGCTTCGTAAGAAATTTATGAGAAAGAGCGGTTAAATCGCTTGATCGTATCAAGTTGAAACAAACCATCTTCGGACATTCCATCAAAAAACAATGTATACGTATCTTTTTTGTTAGCTCAGTTGTTGCTCAGGATTTCCAGCTATGTGATGTACTACTGTAGCTGTATAGCTTCACATGAGATTGAAAGGTAAAGAACAAAACTTAAATCTGTTCAAGATGCAATATCAGCTATTTGTTCATTTTACTGGTGCCATTGTCAATTTTTGCTTCCTTCTACGAAGTAAAATTTCGGGTATCATATTTCAACGAAAATATCCATTTTGACGGCTATCAAATGCAATTTAACGATGTTTTTGAAAAACATCTGTATGTAAGGGTATAAAAAAGGACAACTTTCCCCAAAACGAATTGTAAGAAGGATTCAGAAGACATTTTTTCATGGCGTCCGTACGTACGTATGTGTGTATCTCGCATTACTCAAAAACGAGTAGGATCAGAGCGTTGAAATTTTGTATAGAGAACTGCTATAACATGTAGTTGTGCACTTCTATTTTTGGCTATAATCGGCCGCACCAAAAGTATATATATATATCCGGCCTGTTACTCGACTTGGTGTAGTGAAAATATTTGTATGTAGTAAAAATACTTATATATTTAATTTTTCTGTGTAATAAAATGTGTTAGTTTCTGTAGGCTATGAGAAATATTAATATAATTATTCAGGTGCATAGTGATAACCAAATTTTGAATATCATTTTATTTATCAGCGATGAATTATAACAGTGATTAAGAGTAAATCACGTTGTTTTCGCAATAACCCGAATGATAGGGATAAAATATGTGACCTACAGAGGATAGCAAATAAGTACTTACCCCCAGACGTTGTGATAGTTGAAGAAGAAAATACAAGTTATTCGTCTACAATTTACTCTATTTTATATCTTCCTATCAAAAATTTTATTGCTGAGCTCACACAAATAAACAAGAAA